CCTCATACATGCAAAGCATGCGCTCTACCACTGAGCTACATCCCCAGTTGTAACCGCATGACGATGCGAAGCTATTAATACAATACCTTTTACAATGCCTGTTACATTTATATATGTCTAAATGATGGATATTATTTATGGGGTATAATATTGTTTATGGGGAAAGAAAAATAGCGTTCTACACCGGAGACGAGTGTATTTTATATAATGTAACGTTAATCTTAAATAACATTGCTATAACTTGAAATACAAACTTCATAAAAAATACTACCCCACCCAGACTTTTAAAATGTGTTGGAAAAACAACGTTAAGTTACAAAACAGCTACAAATTTGCCACCCAACATTAGAACAAAATGCTTTTTTAGTCATTAAACTTACTGAAAAGGTGTAGACTGCGAGGAGAATGTCACAGTAGAGACATTTCTCTCCACAATCAAATGATAAACTATGAAATGTTCTCCCGTTACATCACTAATAATAATAATCATCATAATAACAATAGTTAATAAGAAATCATGCTGTTACCGCCACGCAGCAGCGTCTCGTTGTCTTTTCACATTATAAGTGTTACATTGTAATTTAAAAGGCAGTTTTTCCTTGCCCCCGTCGCCAAGGTCTTGCTCATGGTGGTACTGTTGGGTCTCTGTAAATTTATAAGATTCGGTCTAGACCTGCTGCTATTTGAAAAGTGTCCTGAGATTAACTTTGTTATGAATGGCGCTATACAAATAAATTGAATTGAATTAATTTATAAAAAATCATTTTAATGTGTTCTCAAAAGTAAAACGACTTTGTTGCTGAAATTCGATAAACATGTGAACGATTGTTCACTATTAGGTTTACTGGGTATCAGTATGTATTACTACTACAAGCGCTGTTCTCTCATTCCACCATATGATGTCGCTATTGCCTGAGCATTGCACCTTGCAGTCGGCATCTTTACAGCACTTTGACATGTCATTAAGTGACAGCATACACCTTACGGGCCCGCAGGCGGAAACGGTAAGCATATGCTTTTGTGATGTGTGTCTGTGACGATAGAGTCACGACATAACCCTACTGTCTCACCTGAACCGGCGGCGAGTCGGGAGACAAACCCGGACGGACTCTCAGTGAGCAATGAAATGAGGTTTTACTCCTTCAGATTTGGGTGTCTGCTGGCTTTGGCTTGTTTTGTGTCGGTTACCTGGATTAAATCGATCCCCAAGGATGGAGGTAACTTTACTGTAACGTAACCGACCGTACTTAGACAAGTAGAACTTTTTAGACTGTTACAAACTAATTTAGGCTTAATTGTCAGGTTCATTGGAAACAACAAGAAAATCGTGTTTAACTTGGAAAATGTGGATATTGTAATTTCTTTTATTGTCAAACTTTGTAGAACTCAGAAACTAGCGTGTTTGCGACTGTACAGTCTGCACGCGACCCATTTACTGTAGAACGTGCGCGAGAAAACGGTGTTAATCATTTGACAGCTGAAGTAAAGCTAATGAAGTTAAAGAAATGTCCGTAGGCTGAGTAAGAGGCACCCACTGTGGCTGGCACACACCTGACGCTGTTTGTACAACAGTAAACAGTATCATAAAAGCTTCTCATTAAAGAGGCTGTGGGGAAAACTATTAACAGCAACATCTGTGAAATTCCAGTTGTTGAGCTGTAAACCTGTGGGTTCAGGGGTCAGGGCAATATACTGGCCCCCCTACCCACACACACACACACAATTAACTAGGACGTGTCTGAAAGTTTCCTTTAAGCGGCCTACTTTAGCTTTGAGTCAGCATTAACAGCACTAACCAGTGGTCTGCTTTCTCTCTTCTTTAGGTTTGGGTATTTAGATTTGAACAATTCTTTAAAAAGAAAACAGGTTTATTTTACTTAAAAACAACTAATTTCATAATCATCCTTTTTATTGCAAACATTTTAATGCATGATTCCAGCTTTACAAATGTGAGGA